TGTGACTGTTGAATACTGTTGACACATTTGACACTTTTGAGACGCGAAGACCCGAGACGAGTCCAAAAGTGACGCCAGTTCTGCGTTTCGCGACCAGGACCCCCCCGATCCCTGTGCCTGTTGAATACTGTTGACACATTTGACACTTTTAAGACACGAAGACCCGGGACGAGTCCAAAAGTGACGACAGTTCTGCGTTTCGCGACCAGGACCCCCCGATCCCTGCGACTATTGAATACTGTTGACACTTTTGAGACGCGAAGACCCGGGACGAGTCCGAAAGTCACGACAGTTCTGCGTTTCGCGACCAGGACCCCCCGATCCCTGTGACTGTTGAATACTGTTGACACATTTGACACTTTTGTAGTACGAAACGTAAAAAGTGACGACAGTTCTGCGTTTCGCGACGATTTTCGTCTCTCCGGCATGTCCGACCCTCCGCGGACGCTTGCGAACGATTGCGGACGATTGCGGACGCTTGCGTCCACAAACGCAACGACTTCGCGTCGCCTCCTGGACCCCTGGACCCCAACTTCAAAACGGGAACCCTTCTGCGACGCATTCGGGAAAAGATGCGAACATGAACGCAGGAGAGCCCTGCAGCGCTACAAGCCGAGTGGGCGGGCGCATGCAATCGCATGCATGACCAGAGGCCAGCCCTGCGTGATCGAGCAGGCATGTGCGGCGTGGAAAGAGAAGAATGGACCGGCAGGCGGCCTTCGTAAAGGCCATGAGTGGCAGAGTTTGAGGCCAAGCCAAAAGATGGTTTCTGTGTATTCGGTGCCTCTATCCTCATGCAAGCGACGGAGCATGGGCAAGATGCCATCCGAGATAAATTCTACGCTGGCTATTGACCATTGATATCCAGGAGCCTGGTGTTTGGGATGGCGTTAGCTCGATCGCCTGTGCTGTTCTTGTGGCATCCTGCATTACAGGTCTCGAGCCTTCTGGCTTTGTACCTGGAGGTACCAAAGCATTAGAAGGATTTTTCAAATCCACGTGTGAAAGCAGGCTGCGCTTTTGCTTGACAGAACAGCCTGGTTCAGGCACTGTTCAGGCCACGTTCGAGCTTATGCAGCTGGACCGATTGTGAACGCACAATGAGGTGAAAAGAATTCAGCATGACTCTCTCTGACCCATGCTTGGCAGAATGCCAGGTCAAGCACGCCCTTGTGTGGACTTGCAGCCTGAGTTCCTGCCAAGCGTTTCTTGACAAAATCGTTGTGCGACAGGAGCATTACGGAATTTCGGATGTGCTGCTGCAAACTGAGGCGCGCCCCCCTCAGCATTAAATCCTTAAAGGTCAAGGCACTGGGGGAGAGAGAGAGAGAGAGAGAGAGAGAGAGTTGACGTAGCTCGGATCGTGGACAGTGTGCGCAGCTGTGGGCGTAGCCCACAGCCAACTCCTTCGGGGGTTGGCAGAGCCAGTAGAAGAAGAAGAGTTGACGTAATGGTGCAACAGTAGGCATCAGACTCCTGGGTTGGACCGGACTGGAACATCTCGCGGTGCGTTGGGCTGCGGGAGTACCGTACCCGCAGGAGGTCGTAGGACCTCCTTCAGCCTGGAGGAGAAGAAGTTGACGTAGCAACCAACAGCTCATGCTCAACACGGGCAGGGGAGTACAGGGGAGTGGACCTCCGGGGTCGGCGCAAGTCGCTGACTCCAATGTCCGAACGAAAGAAAGAGCGAGAGATGGCCTGCAGTGTGGCTAAGACATGCTAAGACAATCTAAGACAACAAGGGCCGACTGTTTCAAAACCAGCTCTTGGCGAGGACTCCGCAGAGCTGCAGCTGCTTGAACGTTGGCCAACCGCCCAGTTACAGCGTAGATCGGCAAAGCTCTGCTGATGCTCTGCCGGATGAATTTGGAAATGGGTCGATTTTACATGCGCCGAGCCAGGTGTGGCTACCAGGGCATCAAGCTCCACTACACATCCAACGCGCGTCCTGGCCACGACCGATTCAGCACACGTTTTTGGTGCCTGGGCTGCAGAAAGGCTTTCAGCTCTGCTGACCAGGTTGGCTTCCGGGGCTTCGATTCATTTGATTGCAGTACCTGCAGCCAAGCAAGCGGTTCATGCGGGCAATACGAGTGTCGAAACTTCTGTCACTTATTACCCAGACCAAACTCGACATGCTGGTCGCAAATCATTGGCTCAAGTCAGCTTTGACAAGGCCTTCGCAGGTCAACATGACAGAGGCATGGGGCTGCTAGGTGCTGCTGGATTCTTCAGAGCTGGAAATCCCGTCGAACGGAGCGCTATCACTTGGTGTTCTGCGACAGGAGGGCCGCATCGCTGCACTGAATCTCATGATCGGCAGCCAGGCAGTTGCCATTCTAGGCGGGTACGGCTGACCGAAGACTTGGCACTTAGCGACATTTTTGGATATGGTTACGACATGCTTCCATGCCCGACTCGTCACGACTCGTTACCTTGTGACCTACACACGCTGTAAAGTGTTCACGGACGGAGGCGCAACGAAACGTTCGCAATGGGGTTCAGAGCTTCCGGGCGGATTTATTGCGCTTGCCATTCATTCTTCACCACCCGTCTGATCCTGTTCTGGACTGATTTTGGGAAGCCAGCTTCTGTATAGGGAATGCGCTTGGCCAGCACAAGGCAGCCAGGCGAACATGAATGGGTGACTGCACATGCTGCTCAGGGGATTTGCCTGGACACAAGAATCTTTGCCTTGCAGGCTCTCTCCACTCAGCTTGGCTGAAACTGCAGCCGGCCTTCATGATGGCAGTCCAATGGAAGGACGGATTGCCCAGAGGGCGTTGATCGGCTTCAGATCGAAAGTTGGATTATCCCAGCTCTGCCAGAGCATCCCTTGGTCTGGAGCCTTGGCGGCTCAAACCAAGGGCCCCGTGTTTCGCATCATTTTGAGTGCTATTGAGGACTGGACGCATCAGGGCGCACTAACCGATGCCTTGGTTCCAAAGCTACAAAGCCGTGCATGAGAGGCAGTCCTCGTGATCGGTCTCGCAAGCATTGCCCTGAGCATGCAGTGCATTCTATCATCTAAGCGCCTTTTTTGTGTCAGCTGCAGGTCAAGACTATCAAAACTTTGGCTCCTTCGTGGGCGATGAGGCTGCTGCGCAGCAGCTCCTGCGGCCCGGTGAAGACTCCTGCCTGCACTGCTTGCTCCTTGCTTTCTCACTTGAACCTGGCAGAGCGTGAACGCCGAGTCATTTTTTGTGTTTCGTCCTGTACTGACGTGCTTCGCATGATCGTTCGCAAGCAGATCTTGGTGGGGGATGGGCTGACTGAGCGTTGCAAAGCTGTTTGCTTCAGGTGTTTTCACCGGTGCCATGGCTCTTGTGATTGGGCAGCTGGCATCGCTTGGCCTTTCCATGTTTTTCCTGCTCAAGCTGAATCTGCGCGGCCTCGCACAACTGGCTACCACTCTCAGAGGAGTACCCTTGCGGAAATGGACATAATATGTGAATCAAGACCTTGAGGCCGTGCACCGTGTTCAGAGCAGATCAATCCTCTCCAGGTTGCTTTGCGCACGCGTTAAAAAAGATCTTCCTATACGTCGAAGCAGTACTTCAGCTTGGGGGACTGGATGGGGATCTACCACGACCATAGAACAAAGCCAACGCATCTCCATTCTGAGTGCGGCAGGGCAGGATTTGAAGGTTGCTACATTTTGGCCAGCTCTGTCCTGGCTGGAGGCTGTGGAGACACAGGCAGCCCAAGAAGCTTCGGAAGCAGCCTTGTCCGCAACCTCAGCTTCACGACACAAGGCCATCCTGCAAGTAGCAGCTGTCCACACATGGGTTGTGTATGGTTATATACTAATATTTCCCAATCTATAAACGGCATGTGTAGGCATCATGTTCTATTTAAGAGAGCTGTATTAGTATGTTCCGAGCTCGGGGTCGAAGCAATACATCCCCCAAGAATAAAACAAAGTTACGGGGCCTTTGGGGTGGCCGGCAAAATGTACTGCACGAGGCGGATCCTAGGTTCTGGTCCCTGCATACAAGAGAAGAACATGAAGTTTTGGGATGGGGAGTCTCCAAAACATGAGTACATCCAGATTTGAGTATCGTGCTTTGCTTCACTCTTTGAGCTGCAGTTGTGGTCTCGCACAGCATGACCCCAAGCCTTTGAGCATAGACTTCCTTTCAAGTTGTCTGCATGAAAACTGACAGACGGATAACCATTGCTTCCTAATCTACCCCTTACAGCCTGGTTTCTTGACAGGGGTGAACACAAAATGTACAGTTTTGGGCTGGAAAATGCACACAAATCTTATGTGTGAGGAGTATATTTGTTTTGAGGTACTGGACAAGCTGAAGCAGTAGCCTACTCAAGTCCTGGTTCTGCAACTCAATTTAGCTAAAGTCCCTTCCAAGACCAACTAAGATGAGGAATCTTGGGAGGCTGCAGACTAAGATACCGTGTCATGCGCATGGTGCATAATCTCCAAGCAGCGTCTGGCAAACTTGATGCTGAGGTCCTGCTTTTCCAACACAAGTCCCAGGGCCTGCACCTTGGAGGAAGAGTGACACAGCAAAACGGCTTCAAGTCCTCTCTGCATACGGAGCAGACCCGGTTTCAAGTAAGCTGGCAGGTTCGCTGGGCCGCTCTGGAGGCGCATACAATACGAGCATGCACGGCCCATGGCGGCTTGGCATGATGCTCCAGGCAGATAAGAAAGACCCTGAGAGTGCAGGTTTGGGCGCGGCTTCTGCGGGCTGGATGCACAGCGCCTGTGGACCTGCTTGGCCAGGCTTGATGTTCCACTGCACCACCTTACTGGCTGGCAGACAAATTGAACTCTGTGCCTCTAGTCCTTGCAAGCTTCGTGCACTTGCAGGCACCTGAGCCGTTGCTGAAGCTCTGCAATGATATCTACACCCGCGTCAGACGCCGTGGCTTCTATCTGAGTTTGTGAATTCCTCAAGTGGCATGCGCATTCGTGAGAGATGTGGTAACTTCCGGCATCCCCTTCAGTGTTTGCTGCGGCGCATGCATGTGTGGCAGGCTGTGTGTCCACAGCATCTTTATAGCAGCTGTCTAGAGCCTACTCTACAGAAATGTCCGGTAGTTTCGTAAGAAGCAAAGACCCAACAGGTGCCGACTCCCGCAAGTCCGAAGGGTATCGCGAAGTCCAATCCAAATGCATCCAAATGCAACGCTAGAAACACAGCAGTGCAGAAGCTCATGGCAGGGGTTTGACCAGGTTTCTGGAAAGAAAGCTGGAAGCCACGCAACAACTGATAAGCCTGCCAAACGTTGGCATACATCTGCTAGCAAGCACCGTGCTTGCAACGGGTAAAGTGTCTGATACATCGTAGCGGGTGCGCTGACCATTCCATGCTTCCATCGCAGTCCGAGCAAGTTTTTGTAGGTCTCTGTGCTGGACCTTTGTAGAGACTTGTGAGATGAGTACCTCCTCGAAAATGTACGGGGAGTGGGGATTACTCTGAGTGCCACCTGTTTACGGTGGTGGTAGTGGGGGTGGTCTAGGAAATAGGTACCGGGCACTGCGAGTCATAGACTGTTCAAGGGGGAAGTCCGAGTCCCCCACCTGAGAGGTGGTGGGTCACGGCTGATGTCGACAGGAAGAAGAACCGGATGGTACGGGTATCTTTTTCTGCCCCAGCCCCCCCCGACTTCTCCCCAAGTCGAGGGCGTCCTTATTTTGCCAGAAAAGTAGAAAAGGGCATGCTTGCCAAATCTAACACATCGACGGTTGGTTCTAGTTCGGACCCGAATGAAGATGATGAAAAATCACAGGCATCCCGATGTTGTTGATGTCTTGTTTATCGTTGCTCCGGCTTGTTCGCAATTGTTCAACCGTTCCAGGCCGAACCCATCCCAGGTCCGAAAATCGAGCCAGCCAAGCAAAAGCCCCCAGGATCAGGATCTGTTTGAATCAAATGAATCATATATCCATCCGGACCCATATTCCAACCCCAAAATCCAGGCACCCTAGCAACCGCAATGAACGACAGTTTCATTTCGGAACCAAGCACAGCCAGACCTTGTTGCACAAATTTAGGGCCTGCGGCACGGGCCGGCCTGGCCGCCACCCCCCTTGCCCACCCAGCTCTTGTTACCTGGGATGATTTTTAGGTTTTGAAGACCCTGATCTCTGTAGTTTAACCCAATTGTGCTGATGATGTTCCTGTACAAGGCTCGTACAGAAACATCAGCTGCACAATTGGGACCCCATTTTGGCTTGATTGGGAGCAGAAGAAGTCAAAAACCCGAGGAAAGCCATCAAAGATGACTTTAGACATGGTTCTGACCATGTTCTAGCCCACAATTGCATTTCACT